CCCCCCCCCACCCAAGAATTCATTCCCAAAACCCCATCTAGCCCTGTCCCCTGTCAGTGGGAAGCCATTGCCCCTTTGTCCTCTCCCTCCAGGCCCTTGTCCAAAGTCTCTCTCCAGCTCTCTTGGATCTCCTTTAGGCGCTGGCAGGGGCTCTAAGGTCTCCCCAGAACCTTACCTTCTCCAGGCTGAACACCCCCAGCTCTCCCAGCCTGGCTCCAGAGCAGAGATGCTCCAGCCCTTGGAGCATCTCCACAGCCTCCTCTGGAGTCACTCCAGCACCTCCACATCCTTCTGCTGTTGGTGGCCAGAGCTGGAGGCAGCAGTGCAGGTGAGGTCTCACCTGAGCAGAGCAGAGGGGCAAAATTCCCCCCCTCATTTGCTGGGGATGAGCAGTGCCTCAGCACGCTCACAGGGAAGAATTCCTTCCCAATATCCAATCTAAACCTCCTGTCTCTCAGTGTGAAAGCCCAGGCTAGATTGCTGCCCTCGGTCTGCTTTGTCTAGAGTCATTTATCCAGTAAAACATCCCAGCCCATGCCATGGGGCTGCTAGCAGTGCTGTCACCAAGCCATAGCTCACTGGATCTCCCAGCTCTGCACTGGCACCACTCTAACCCACGTAAGAAATACCTCAGTAATGGGAAGATTAAGGAGTCCAAACGAGAGTTCACATTTTATCAACTAGTTACTGGAAAATTAACATTTATTCTTCTTTCCCTCTTTGACTTTCTCTCTTCCCCCACTTCCACTCTGTGTGTGTGTAACACTGGTGCTTAATTATAGTGACACCAGTTTGCAGGCACCAGACTGTGTCAGGGTGTCCCTGTGGGGCCCTTCTGGTGCTGGTGTAATATGAAAGTGTCAGGCAGGCAGTCTGGGTATTACAAATAGGGCACTTCATCCATGAGAAGTGATTATTATCTTCCTTTCCCAAGTGTAAAAGACCTGTATAACTCAACAAGGTGCCAGTGATTTAGGCCTCCGGAGTCAAAATCCAATGAGTCCTGAAGGGGACCCTGTGATGTTGTTGTCTTGTTGCTGAACTTGAGATATTCAATTTATTATCCTGGAATATATTTTCTGGAGTCAACATTGGGTAAAATAATATGAGAGGCTGTTAGAGCAACAGTACAACAGGATTTAGTGTCCCTCTGTGATGGCCTTCTAAAAACCTTAATCACCCTTGGTAAAAGCAGAAAGCTGCTGTTGAAATTTACTTGCCATTGGTGAGCTAACAGCATTAGTTACTGCTTTGGATTGTTTTAATAATTTAGGGAAAAATGAGTTTCATGTTTTTTTTCCATTCATTTACAATTATTTGGGTCTTGGACTTAAAAGGTTTGAGTTGCCTAAAGTTTTATGCACATTTCTTTCTATTACTTAGATGACTCTTAGCAAGAGACTTATATGATTAACTTGGCATATTTGAAGGATTAAAGATCACAATTTTGACCTGTTTTATCCATATGTTTTGTTGGGTTAAAACTGTTAAAAGAGAAAACATGGAGAGCACAGATAATGTGAAAATTTGGCTTTATGCTTTCAAAAATCCTAACTATGTAATCATTGTAATGCCAAATGTCTGAAATTAAAATGAAATAGTAATAGAAAAATCAAACTTTGTGTTTTAATGATTTAATTTATTCTTAATGAAGAATAAATTGTGAATAACAAGTAGAACATAAGCTATTTTTGTTTGTGGATCTCCTGATGTTACCTACAAGCTTAGATAAGTATTCCCATCCCAGATTTAGAGAATGGAAAGGATATTCCCTACATGTTAGGACAGTCTGTGCTAGTCTGTGTTGTACAGGGTAAACAGAGGCATAACTGAACAGGCCAGGCAGTAACCAACCCTCACTGTACCTGTATCCTTCACAGGATGGCCAGCAGCCCTGGGAATAACACCTCCCTCTCCATCCAGAGAGCCACACACACGGAAAATTCCCAAGGGAAGAAGTCCCAGCATGCAGGAGAAGCAATCTTCTACATGAACTGCAGAGCAGCCTATCTAACTGTTCTGAAGAGCAGTTTAGAGAACATTAAATCAAAAGAACAACTCAGTTTAGGTAATAATGAGGTCTCTTACCCTGTAAGTGTTGCATGTGATGGTTACAGTGGGTGGTTTACAGGCAGTTCAGTAGTGAGAGTATCCTAATGCATAAACTCAGGAACTTTTAAGGAATGTGACAAAAATGTACCTGAAAAATAGAAGCTGGTTTCTTTGTAATCTATCTCAGTGACCAAGTAAGATCTCAGCTGTAACAAAAGTGCCTTTATAACATCCTAGGGATAGTTTTGGCTAATCTGGATGTTAAGATAGGAGTGATGTGAACAAATGTCATCCCTTTAATGTATGCTTTGCCTTTCATCTCTATCCATGTGCCACTAGGCCACATAGCAAGTGTTTGGGCATTTTGGTTTCAAGGTCAGCTCCGAGAGGATAGTTAGCTGCTCAGGCTCCAAGTCTTTTTAGAGATATTTAAGATCTTTTAGAATTTGTGAGTATAGAGAATTATAGGCTTATAGTGCATCCTAAGTGAATTCTGGCATTGAGTGGTGCTAGCATTTGAGCATCTCTTGCTAAATGATGTTCATCTGGTAGTATAAACTGTAAAATACTCACTTAGAGATTGGCCCTGTGGAGTTTTATTAGTAGGACTTCTGCTTATTCACAACTAGCCTAATTTCCTTTGTGCTGTGGTAACACTGAAGGTATTTAGCAGAGTCAGTCCATAAAGGAACAGGAGTAAAAGGTTCAGTGCATCAGAATTTAAATTCAATTTAACATAGTACCTTCACCACACTGAAAACTGATGAAAGGATGTTTTCACTAAAGACTTCGAAGAGGCAAAGTAGGACTTCTGCTTATTCACAACTAGCCTAATTTCCTTTGTGCTGTGGTAACACTGAAGGTATTTAGCAGAGTCAGTCCATAAAGGAACAGGAGTAAAAGGTTCAGTGCATCAGAATTTAAATTCAATTTAACATAGTACCTTCACCACACTGAAAACTGATGAAAGGATGTTTTCACTAAAGACTTCGAAGAGGCAAAGCAAAAGCACTGGTGGTGTGTATGGGATTGTCTTTTGCCTTAATATACCTCTGTTGGTATAATTTTTCCTTGACGTTTGATGTGTCATTTGAATGGATAAGTTCAAATGTATAGATGTGACTCTAAAATATTAAGCTAAATTCTACACTAGATCTCAGTTCTTTGCAAAGTAAGTGGAAAGATTTACGTGGATCTGAGGAGAAATAGGCTCTAATAAGGTGCAGGTTTACAAACAATTAAGTTCTTGATATTAAGACACAGAACATAGGCTGAGTTTTGCACTTGTCACTTGAGGTTTGAGTTCATGGATCCTTTGATTGAGGCTGTAAGCAAAACTGTCCTTCAGACCCACTTTGCCCTGGGAATGATTTGGCTTGAAACACAAATCTGAGCATGGAAAGTGATTAAAGGATGTTTTGAGGAAATTCCTTTACTGACAGCTGGAAAATGTAGTTAATATTGTGTTTTCTTGCTCAGTACTTCAACAGGCTGGAAGAAATCCATCTCAGCAGACCATTAATAAGTATTGGACTCCACAAACAACTGCACTGAATTTTGATGATTTTTGTGCTATTTTAAAGAAGGAGAAACCAGCTACAAAACCTGAACTGCTGGAAGCATTTGGAAAAATAGACCCAGATAAAACTGGATATATTTTACATGATGAACTTTATCGAATTCTTACCACAGTAAGTATCAGTTGAAACCTAATTATCCCTTTTGAAGTAGAGATTTTGGAAATTAGGTGGTAAAACTATGCTACAGTATAAGAATGACTGAAAGTTGGTATTCTCCAATTTGTGGAATATTTTCTGGAATCAATGTGTCATTCATGGTATGACACAAAATTTCACAAGCTGATGCAGTTTATCTGTTCAGTGTTTAGTAGCATTGTAAAGGCATAAGTGTTTATGATTTTGACCTTTGTTTTCATGATTCAAATCAAAATCTATTTAGATCTATTGCAAGATAAGATTCCCTAGAAGAATATTAAATTACTAAAGGAGTCTTTATTTGTGTGTTTATTGAGTGTGCACTGTAGGTGAACAACATTCTTGATTAGGAGCCCAAACTGAGTTGTTTTTTTGTTGCAGAGAGGTGATAAAATGACCTGGGATGAAGTGAACAGCATTATCAAACAAGCTGATTTTAACTGCAGTGGCAAACTTGACTACAGCAAGGTATGGCAAACAGTGATATTTGTTCTTGTGTTACTGGGTTGGTGTTATTGACACTATTAGCATTATCAAACCAAGTATTGTGTTGGATAATCAACAGCCTCCAGTTGTTGGTCTATTGATGACTTACCCTAAGATCTCAAATTGACTATAAGCAAAGTTTGAACTGAAATAAACAGTCCATGAAGAAAGAAAGTTTCACTTAATGGGTTACTTTCTTTATCTGAAGTTCTGTGACTTGTACATGAGGACCAGTGAGCAGTGCTGCAAGGCTGCTAGGGAGAGACTGGAAGTTGACAGTAGACTGAGGCAACAGCAGTTTGGGAATCAAGCTGAAACTTCCCCTGAAGGCAACACACTGCCAGTGTCAAAACTGTCACCAAGGATCTCCAGGAAAAATGATCACAAACTAGCAAAAGGTATTGATGTTTTCTATTGGGAGTTTTCTTCCAGCACTGAGCCAATGAACAGTTGAGTTTGTGTTTGATTTGTCTCAGATTAGTGAGGATGTTACTGATTAATATAAATTTCTACCGTGGCAATCACATAAATGTCTCAGTAGAATATCTGACCTCCGTGTTCAAATAGATTTTGGCTGCATCTGTGATCTGAAGCTCTCAGATTCCTAAGGGTGAATTTTGTTGACTCTCCTGAGTCCAGAAGGAAGAGAAAATGAATGTTCAGATGTTGCAACACAGGCAGGTTAGTTATTTCCTTCCCAGATCAGAGATGAAACCTTAAACACTTATCAATATCAGAGTGTTTGTCTCAATTATTGAGGCTGCTTTGCAGGCAAAATCAATGGGAGAGTTTAATGCTCTTCCTCAAGTTACTAAGACACTTAAAAACCTTCCCAAACTGGCAAAAGAGCACAAGTACCAGGTACCGTGTATGAAATATTTGGGTGTGGTTTTAAGTTGCCTCAATTCTAGGCAATACTGAGTAGGTGCAAGAATGACAAAACAGTGATGAAGTGATTTCAGCACTGATTGAAGCTCCTATCACCCAGTTTTCCTGTGTGCTTACAGACATAGGGTTTGCAAGAGAGAGCACGAGGAGTGGGTTGAAATAATATCATTGTAACTAAGTATCTCTGTTTATAGGTGACAGCAGAACTCCTTCAAGACCTTCATCAGCTCAGAGCTGCAAAGCTTCCATTTCTCCCCCTGTCAGCACTGGTGCCAGTAGCAGCAGGGACACAAAGCTAATTGAGCCTGACACAATGAAGGTATCTTGTTGAAATTTTGCTGTTTTCCTCTAGGCACATATGTTATTGCATTTTAAATAAGCTAAAAATCAGAGGAAAAATTCTCTCTTATCTTTTATTAATAGTTTGTCAAGGGCAGCTATAAACTACTGAGAGGTTTGTTGCTAAGTATTGTTATTAACATTTTTATATACTGTTGGTTTTGCTGACATCTAGTTATTGAAAATAATTTTTCAGGTGTGAAGGTTTAATAGAATGAAGTGTGTTTTTTATAAATGGAAGGCACTGTTGGAGAAAACCTTTAATGACTTGTTGAGGAATTTCAGATTGAATAATTTATGAGGTTAGTGAGAACTTTAAATGCTTAAGTAGCCTGAAAGATTGTGTCTCATAAAGCTTTACATGAAAGGTAATTGGAAATAAATAACAGATCTGTGAGGTTGTTGGGCATTGCTTTGTAAATCTGTGCTCTAGCCTGAAAATATTGATTTTTAGTTAGACTAATATGTCCTATCAGTATTTTCTTTTAAATAAATCACTCATTCAATATAAATTCCTGTGGGAGAGAGACAACAAAGTCACTTTGCTAAGTCAATATTTGTAGAGTGTTAATATTGATCTTTTTCCTTTGTTTTCCCTTTCTTGACTGAACCTTTACTAGTTTTCCTTCAGCAGAAAATAATAGCTGTGGAAATATAAAACATTAACTGGAAACTGCTAGGATACATTAAAAAATGTGCACCTGGAGACTCCTGTATAGGGGGGAAAAATGGTTATGACCACACAGTGTAACTGCTGCTGGGAAACTGAACTGATTGTCCTCAGGAGCTCCATTTTGGTTTCGAATAACAACTCTGTATTTGTTATTGAACTCTGAAGTCCTTTAGATCTTCCCCATTGCTATCCAGTGACATTTGTTCTATATTAAAATTTCCAAACATCACCTCAGAGGAGCTGTTTGCAGTCTGTTTAGGTATCTGGACCTCCATGCAATTTAACCTGCAATTTCACCTTGTTCAAACATGATGTGTGGTGGATAAAAGCAGCACACAGTTTCCCCACTGTTGGTGTCTTCTTTCTTTGTACAAGCCAGTAAGAACTGACTGAAAAAAAGCAGCTGTAGATACCAATTAGTAGTGATTAGCATCATATAAAAACTGAAATCAATCAACATGAAGAGGTGTAAGTAGAGCTTGTTTTAAACTCTGTTTTGCACAGTGCAAACTCTGTCAGAATCAATGAACGAATACTCAGGGATTCTTTTGTGGTGTGGATCAGAATCTAGCACCCAAAATTCTTCTTATTCCTCTTATATCATTTTTTTTCCTGCCATTCACCTGTCCTTGTGGGTCACTAAGAAAATATTGCCAGCAGGAGGTTGGACCAACACCAGCTTTACATTTCTGACAGAATGCAACAGTAGAAGTCAAAACATGGTGGATGTCTACATTTACAAACCCTTAGAAAACATGAATGTGTTCACAGCACATTCTTGCCTGTGTTTTCTTTTTGTCAGTGACAGTTTTGTGACAGTTCAAAGCCACAGAAATGAATTTGGGGAGGAAAAAACAGTTGCAGAAGTGCTACAGATGTGTATAAACAACATGCTGATCTGCGGGGCTTCAGCTCTGGCTGAATCCCAACTCATTAAAAGATTAATTGAGGTATTAAATTTCTGCAGAGTATTTTTGGTGTTGGTTTTAGTCAAGCTTGAAAGGCATTAAAGCAGTGTGTCACGTGCTAAAACCTTCTCTGCATTGTGTAGCTGAATTATCCCTGCCAAAGAGTCTCACCTTTGCATTCTGCTCTGCTGAAGTCAGTGACAGACTTGCACACTCAGGCAGCAGAAGAAATGCCTGAGAAAGGTCTTTTTCCTGAAGGAAGGAGTTCTGTGCTCCCAGTTGTATCTGTGGAGTAGCCTCCTGAAGTTGAGCTAACAGGACTTTAGTGCATATGGAACAGGTTTGTACAAGACAAAGCATTGAACTGGAGCTCTTTGCTTTAATCATAGTAACAATTCCTCTCCCAAACGTTGCTTTTTATTTGGAATTAGGCATTAGTGTGTGGACAATTTGAATAGTAAATTGCAGTAGCAGTGACCAGCAGCAGGTAGTGCCTAATTTCTTTACAATTAACACTTCTGACACACACATTTCCCTCTGTTGTTAGCTGTTACTTGACAACTCATTATGCTTCCTAGTGACCTACTAAAACCAGACCTGAAAGTCACCTCTGAGGTTCTCAAATGTACATATCTGTCTGTAATTTGACAGGGATAATTTAGGACATCTATCAGCAGCTTATGCTCTCTGCAAGGATAACAGGTCAGGGTTTGATTTCCTAAGCCACTGCCAAACTTTTTGTCCCACAGTTTTGTCGGGTATTAAGATTGGAGAGTAAATGAGCAAATAACCAGTTAGCTCAGCTGGGACAAGTTCAAGGAATCTCCATTTACTGCATGTGGGCTTTAGATGAAGTTAGGAGTCATGAAAGTATTGGAATAAACAGTTTACTGAGAATGGAATAGTAGGAGAACTGATTTCATAGGCTAAACTACATGTTTCAGTTCTACCACTGACTGATGTTGACTCCACTGTGAATCCCAACTCCCATTATCCACTTGTTGGACTGACAGAGTCCCATATATTCCTCCACATTTAACCCTCACCATTAAGTCCCAGTAAGCTTTTGTCTCTTTCACTTCTTTCCTAATTATTCTTTGTGACTGGACTGCTTTTGCTCTTCCTGTCACCAGAAAACTAATTTCAGGGCTAAAGATCAGATCTTGTTAATTAGGTCTATACTACTATATACAAGGTGGCCTGAGACTGATCTCTGGCTCTGGGGCCCATAGGGACCTGTATATTTGTACTTCATATTTGCACTTAAATTGCTCCATATTGTCAGCTGTTTGCAAATATAATGAGCAGAATTTGACATCTGAAATGGATATGATGCACTGTACTGCCAAAACTATTGGGGTACTGAGGATGTTGCTTTTAGATCAACATCTTGGATGGACAAAGTAGTCTCAGCGTAGTAAGAAGTAATTTGAGATTAAGACAGTTTCCAGCTATGTAAAATTGTAATGATGTAAACTAAATGTCAAATTGAATTATGTAAAATGAGTGTTGGAATGACAAGTGTTTAGTATAGAGGGGTTGAGCCTGTTCCCACAAAAATCAGTGGCAAAACTGTGGCACAGGACTGGAGGCTCTTAATCCATGAGTTCCTGAGTACCCATTAATCCAGGCTAGGGAAGGTAAATCCATGATGTTTTCTGTTCCTCAAGCCACAAAAAACGTCTGTAATTACTTAATTTAATTTTTTTGCTAAAGAATTGTCATTCCAATGATATTTGAAGTTACAAATCGGGGCCTGCTGTTTAAAGAAGTAAATAATTGAAGAAAGGAGCTGTTTTAGCCTCTCTGCAAGATCACGGCATCATTAGAAACCATGTTATTCCCAAACACAGCAGTTTTCGGTTTGGCTTTCCAATAGCTTTGACACAAGTCAAGGAAAAAAATCACTTAAATTGACCTTTACTTGTGTTTGTGGTTTGTCTGAGCAAATAACATAGAATCATAGAATCAGCCGGGTTGGAAAAGACCTCCAAGATCATTGAGTCCAACCCTACTGTGGTTACTAGACCATGGCACTAAGTGCCACATCCAGTCTCAGCTTGAAAACCTTCAGGGATGGTGAATCCACCACCTCCCTGGGCAGCCCATTCCAATGCCTGATCACTCTCTCCATAAAAAATCTCTTCCTAATATCCAACCTAAACCTCCCCTGGCAGAGCTTGAGTCTGTGCCCTCTTGTCC